AAAAAGGGTGTCATTTGCTTATGCACCTAGTATGGAATGCATCTCAAAACAAACTAGCAAGATTTAAAATTTTTTATTGATTTACTTTTATTTTTATACGCATGAGTGTTTTGCATGCATATATGTAACTATACAAGTGCATGAAATGTCCATGGAGACCAGAGAGGGTGGAGTCACGGATGGTTGTTAGCTGCCATGTGGGTGCTGGAACCAAACCCTGATCCTCTGGGAGAGCAGTCAGTGCTCTTAATCACTGAGCCATCTCTCCATTCCCCCAAACTAGTGAGTTTTAATACTGCTCAAAGAAGCAGAAAGTATATGCAAAAAGCAAACAAAACTTAGGAAGTGACTGCTAAGGACTGCTAAGAAAGAAAGGAATTTCTCTGGAGAGGGAGGAAAAGGTACTACAGCATGTCCCATTTGGTTGGCTGGGAGGCTACACTGTAGTATGTCACCAACCTCAGGTCATCTGTCACTACAGTATAAGCCTTCACAGGAAAAGAATCAGGTCAAGTGGCAGCTGAGGGAGAGGTTGTGAGAAGAAACCAGAACCGGATAGAAAGAGAGAACTATAATTCAGAAGAGGTTGAGAGATGCTGCATTATCTAGTGACCACACAGCTCACTGTTTAACCAGGACATCTTTGATCATGAAAGTAGGAACACTTAATAATTATACTTGGACTGGTGTGGACGAGCAGGAGTTTGGCTGCACCATTCCTGACCCAGGCTTCTAAGGTGGCTGCCTAGTGGTTTTCAACTTTCCTGCTAAGCCTTGTGGGGACAATCTGAGTAGGTTCACAGTACACCTTGTAAATGGGGAACACGGAAGGGTTGGATGGGGCTTTTCTCTCCTCGGCTACCTTGAACTTCACTCCATCGGCTTCAGTCAAGGCCTCCTAAGCTACCCTCTCTACTCAGATTCCCCCTCAAATGCTCCTTCTTGAAGAAAGCATGTTGGTAGAAGGCTACCTATTAGAACCTGCTTTCTTATCATTTACAGAACCTTTCTCTTTGTGAGCATGGTTAACCTATGTTCAACTTATTAAATACATGCCCTACCGGGCAGGCTATCTCTTTAAGTCTTTTTATATGGAGCTTGATAGCAATATTTGAGGAAGGGTATCTAAAGGCCCATCTTCATAGTGCAGGCAAGACAGAACCTTCTAGGCACAGTTCCAATGTAGTTTCCACCCTAAGGGATTCAGAAGGACTTGGGAAGGGAGCATACACGCGCCTGACTGGCTCTTGAATGCTCAAATGCTGGCCACAGTGCAAGCAGTCAGTTTTGACTCATCTGCAAACACTTTCTTATTTCCTGCTCTTTGGGACAGGGACATGGAGTTGAATTTAGCATGAAGAGCAAGACGGACAAAGAAGGCAGGGTTAGGCATGAAATGGGAGTTTCAAAGACAGCCAGAAGGTTCCACTGAGTCAGGGGGATGAGGTAACCTCCTCTCTAGCTCACACTGCCATCCCCAGACTGTAATTAATGACAGATAACTTTCCAACTTCCTCAGAATGACTCTTCAAAGTTATTACTATTCCTATTCTACAGATGGCAAACCCAAGGTTCAGAAATATTAAGACTCCTTGCTCTGAGACATGGTTTCATGTCTGAAAATGGTTGTATTGAGATATGGCCCAGGCCAGTATTGTTCTACATACAGATACTTCGAATTCCTGATAATGTCTATGGCTCAAGTACAAATACTCTGAAATTTAGCTCTTCAAGCAGTCTTCCTGCTGTATCTAATGGAAACAAGAAGCATCCAGGAGGAACATAAGCAACATGACTCAGCAGACGGAGAAGGAAGAGTTCCTAAAAGGAAAAATCTCTGTACACTGGAACAAATCCATCAGGGGCAAGGGAGAGGAGGAGAGGACAGGGCTGGGAACAGATTCCGGCAGGTGAAGACACAGCTGGAATTCATACTGACTCAAGAGAACAAACTTGGATCATCTGTGGCTTCCTCCACTTGCTAGCTGAGGGACACTCTGACAAATGACACAATCCCTCTAAACCTTAGCTTTATTATCTGTGAAATGGGATGGAGATCTTCCTCACCTCATCCAGTCCTTCAAAAGATAAAGTGAGATGATGGTCAGACAACTCCCAGAGCAGTGTAAAGTGCAGAAAGCCCTCCAGAACGGCACCACCCTGTGTTATGAGAGTCACTTCCTGTGGATGGGGGTCCTTCTTCCCATCTTCCCACTTCAACAGCATGCATATTGTATCCCATTCCAGTGTCAGCAGGCCAACTTTTGCCTTCTACTTCCCCATTTCTATAAGCTAGTATTCTGTTCTGGCCTTCTAATGTCTTCCTTCCTCTCCTCTGCCTGCAGTGAGGCTTTCTACATGGACAGCTCAGTGTTTGCTTTAGTCAAGCATTAACTTGGGAGTGGAAGAAAACTAAGTCTGGTCTATTTCTGCATCAACTCAGCAATTCCTCCAGATTCCATCAATTTTTGAAACCTTTGGAGATTCCACACTAATTAGTAAGGGTTTCACATGAGTGCTCATCTTCTCTGACAGCCAATGCCATGGAAAGAGGAAAAATACAGAGTACTTTGTATCTCAAGTTTGCCTGTGGCTTCTGGCTATTCAAATTAACACAGAATGACCAAATTCAGATAGACATATTAAAATATTCCTCTTGTCTCCCCTCCTTCTGGAAACACTGTCTTATGTTCTTGGCCCAAAGCCTGTTAAAGTTTTTTTTTTTTTTTTTTTTTTTTTTCCTTCAGTGCAGTCAGCTCTGGAACATTCAAGGACACAGACAGACACACAGGAATTGCTTGGAGCCTGACAGCAAACCTTTTGGGAAGGAGCCAGAGATACCATTGTGCTCAGTGACTTTCCTGGCTCCATAGGGTGTGGATGCTAGTGAGGGGTGGAGCGCCGCGCTGGCCGGGCAGGTGTGCACTCTCTTCATGGATCTACTTACTTCTTGCCATTGCTCTGCCCTCCAAGTGTAGCGAGGGCATGGTGAGGCTTGGCAGACACGTTCCGACTCTGGTCTGGTGTATGGGTTGCACTCGCTTTCTCTGGCTGTTTTGTGTGTTCCAATCCGACAGCCCACGTGCCTCTGCTGTACACCTTGGCCACAGGACACAGAGCACTGAGAAGAAAGAGGATGTAAGTAGGCACTTGGGCTCATTCTAGAGGGCGGGGAGGGCTGGGTCACAGAGGAGGGTAATGCATTCTTAATCCAATGATTTTTCACAGCAATCACATTGCTTTCTCATTTCCACAGAAGGGACACCGAGGCAATGAATGTATGAAAGTTGGAGATTCAGGGCCAGTGCTGGAGAGGGAGCAAGGGTCATGAGTCTGGATGAATCTCTAAAGTTAGCCAAACTTTCGGTGGATGACAGAGGGTGGAAAGAGTGGGAAACAGCACAACCTAGAAGCAAGGCTTTACATGAAAAGAAATGTACAAAATGCCTTCCATCCTGGAAGATGTGTGACTTGTGAAAACTAGAGATGCAGGACTATAAGGGAAGAATTTCTTGGCAGGTTAAAAGTCTAACCCACAGCCAGCCAAGCCCTGAAGATTAAGTTCGTATTAGTAGAATTGCTTTCTCTAGCCTCTTGTTCCTATTCCTGGAGACAGGACATTGCTCTGTTTGCTTGTTTAAATTACGGAATTCATTTAAATATCACTTAAGTACAATCTCGAATATATGAAGGATAAAAGCAAATAATAAGGAAAAATGATTTCCTCAGGCTTCATGTTTTCAGTCCTTGAAAAATACTGTTCATCATGCCGAAATATTTTGTTGACCAAGTTGCAAAACACCATATTAAGTCTGAAATTAACTTTCCTCTAAATTAATTTTTTAATGGTTCCCTCATTGCTAGGTTGCATAATCTCACTTAAGGGCAGGCCAAGAATTAGTGTCTTTATTGAGGTTTTGGCAGTCAGAAACTAAAGGCAACCTTTGATTAGAAAGAACTGCACAATATGGCACTTAGTTACAAAAGTTATTTGCACATTTTTGTGATAATTCAGTCTCCATTAATTTGCCTGATGTTGAGAAAACAGTTGGCATACGTTCAAGCCACACTGTCAAGAAGGCGTCTTCCTACAGAATAGAGCTGATCTTTTTAAGCTAGAATCACCGGCTTGTCCAATTAACCTGCAGGAAAATTCAAGGTACTCTGATAATGATGGAAATTCTCTGTCAAGATGTGCACCTCAGTGGATGCTGCCGAATCTTAAGTTTCTTGGTATTCCAGATTTTAAGAAAAAAGGTGATTCTTTTTAGAAGGCAACTTGGGAAATCCTATCATTTCAGACAAATCTATCCTGGGGAAGAGGTACATAACTCACATCAAAATGAAGAGAAGACAATGTTTTGTACCAATATTGCTACTATTGTTCAGGTTTAATTGGATTAATTGCATTGAATGAGTTTGTGACCCACAAGAAATCAGACTTTTAAAGTCATTATATTCTGGGTGGAATGAGAGGGTTGGGAATGCCAGTGATGCCTCTTCTCCATACAACGACCACTTAATGCTCACAGGAACCACACGAGTAATATTTCACATTAGTTGCACTGGAGAAAGAATGGACTGTAACAGTACAGTTATCCCACAAATGATAAAAATATTCAAATACCATCATTAACAATAACACCCAAAGGAATTCTGCTATTTGAATTTGCACTCTTAAATACAAGAAAGTATTTATAGAACAATGTACCCGAATAGAAGTACAAAAAAGGTAATAATGTAAACTCATTTGAGTTTGATGCAAAGCTGATATAAACACAAAATTACACGGTGTCTTCATAGCAAAGAAAAATGTGAAAGACCTTTATATACTATTATTCAGGCTATTAAGTAAATGAAACCTATGTGTGTATGTGTGTGTGTGTGTGTGCGCGCGCACACACACGCGCATAGCACCTGTATGGGTATACATCCATGCATGTGGAAACTAGAGGTCAATGTTGGGTATCTTCCTGAATGGCTTTTCACCCTATTTGTTGAGAAAGAGTCTCTCACTGAACCTAGACCTCATTGATTCAGCTACCTTGACTGGCCAACATGCCCCAGGGATTTTCCTGTCTTTGCCACCCTAGCACTGGGACTGTAGGTCTGTACTACTGTACCTGGATTTTTATTTCGGTGCTGAGAATCCAAACTGCAGAGCCAGCACTTTACTGACTGAGCTATTTCCCCAGTCCCCAAATCTCTTTTGGAGGCTATTGTTATTGAAAAATGTACTGATGGCCAGGCGTGGTGGCGCACGCATTTAATCCCAGCAGAGGCAGGTGGATCTTTGGGAGTTTGAGGCCAGCCTGGTCTACATAGTGAGTTCCAGGACAGCTGGAGCTACAGGGAGACACTGTCTCAAAAAGACCAAGAAAAAAAAAAGAAAAAGAAAAAGAAAGAAAAGTGTACTTATGGTGCAATGAAGGCATGGTACTAAGAGTCATAACCTAAGTAACACTAACAATGTTTCCTAATTCTTCATGAGACAAATGAAGACACAGAAAAATTTGATTATACAATATGTAGTTTTAGATTCTAATCTTCATAATGTCAAAGGCATCTTCCAAATAATACTTTTTTATTAACTTAAAATTTAACATATCTTAAACAGTGAGGTATGAACCCTGCCTTTCTAGATAAAGCATTTGCAGTAATCTCTGATCAGAACGAGGTATGCTGCATCTGGGTTTTGTTCTCCTGTACTGGCTTATGAAAGGCAAAAATTTGCATACAGAGCCAGTCAGGCCTGCTTGGCAAATTCTGAGAGACTTTTGCAGAAAATTTTAGAATAAATAGCATCAGAAAGCCCCCAGCACACTCCCGATCTACTTCTGGTCAGTGTACTTGTTAGTTCCCACAGCAGAGGTCATCCATTTCGCCTTTATTAATACGCCCCTCCCATCATATTGGTTTGTAACGGTGTGAAAGGAGACAGTTTTCATTGTAAGCTGCTGGGCTGGGAGCCATGTTTCATCTCCTTTCGATTCCTGTTGAGTAAGTGTGCAAAACTTACTGACTTAAGGGGGAACTTGACACTTATTTACATAGATGAAAAGGATCTCTGTGGAACTTCTCATGTTTGGGGAATCAACATATACCTGGAAAAGATTTCACATAATTTCTCCTAGTATTACTGGTAAGCTTAGAGTGGTAACATTTTAAAGCAAGGAGTAAATTGAAAATAACTATATAAATCATTCTGTATAAATCATAACACCACTAAACTTTCACTAATCACATGCTATATTATGCTAAACTCCATGTAGGGGTATTACAACCAAAAGCTGTTTTGTTTTGGGGCTGTTCTGTGTATCGTAGGAAGTTTAGCAGCATCTTTCCCTTTACCCACTAAATACCAGTTACATCTTCCCTCACCCCAAGCTGTGACAACCCAGTCTCCAGACATTGCTAGTTATCTCATGAGGCACAAAAATTTCCTCTAGTTGAATGATTATCAGTATGCTAAGCATTTTTTTTTTTTCTTTTTGAGACTGGGTCTCCCCGTAGTTCCAATTTGTGGAACTTGTTATGTAGATCAGGTTGACCTCCATCTCACAGAGATCTGCCTGCCTCTGCCTCCTGAGTCCTGGGATTAAAGGAGTGCCAGCATGCCACCCCCCTAGCATTTTCTGTAAAATAATTTTAATTTCTGAATAAACCATTTAAATAATTTCACAAATAAAGTGAAGAATAAAGAAAATTACAAAACAAAATCAAAATTCCAATTAAAGTTGAATTTGGTAAGGCAATGTGGCAGAGCCATGGTGGATTAGAACTTGGGTCCCAGTTTCAAAATCTAGTGCTAACATGAGGCAGTATTTTATACTGTGCCAGGAAAAGTTGGAGTAATAAGTTTATGTTCAAACAATGCACTATCATTATTCACGGTTCAAATGAAGACCAAATAAACAACATAAATTACTAAACAGCATAAATTACTGAATCAACTCAATTTCCCATCACTGTGCATATGCAAGTGGTTTTTTTAGTTTCTCAATGGGCACACGTTACACACTTGCCACATGTCTCCAAGAAACACCTATGAACTTCTGGGTCAAACACCATAATCAAATTACTTTCCTTATCACTACAAGAAAAGGTGCAACCAAGGACTTCTAGTGGCTTCATAAGGCAATCTGCCAGCTTCACTTCAACATTTGCAATGGAGATGACGAAAAAGTGAATTCTTACTCAATGACTCTAAGACACCACGGACTGTAGACATATCATTACATATTATGTTAGTAAGGTAGTGAATTAAATCATGGCATTCCATGGTTTGCAAGGCCCATCTTGACCCCAAAGGTGTTAAACTGTGAAAAAGAGCCACAGCTCTGGATTGATGAATGAATCGATTGAGGGAATTCATGAGTAACGAATGAAGAAGTGTTACTTTCATTCCACTGTGGCCACTGATTTTTTGGCTTCTGGTCATCATTTTAAGGGGAGGGGGGAGGGCTTTGTAGAGGAGCAATATGAGCTCAGAACATTGTATCCTGGAATGCTTTGACTTCAGGAGACTATAGAGCCTTCACGGCATCAGGCTAAATCAAGGATCCGGTAGTGATTTCAGTCTTAAAATTTCAGCAGCATCTCTTAGTTCTTTTAACCAAAATCACCTAAACAAATTGAGCATAAAGTTTTGAGGAAAATAAAAAACTTCTTTAAGACTGTAGTGAAGTCGTTAAAAAAACAACAACAAATTTCCTTTATAGCTTCAAGATTTCAAAAGATACTGAAATGAAACATCCCACTGTAGATCTCAAAGCGCTCGATTCTGGGGAGAGGTTATTAAGTATGGCAGTGTCCTATGCCAACATTCTATGTATCTTATTATCATCTGGCAGTTTGACATGATGAGAAATCGTACTAATTATTTTTTTGTACCTTGAAGACAAGATGCCTGAATATAGCTGCTAGAAAAAAGTGGAAGGGCCGGATAGAAAATCCTCGGAATATTGTTGCAAACCAGTAATCATTATTCTTGCTTAATATCACTGCCTTAGGGACGTTCTTGTTTACCACCCGGCCATTAGTAAGCCAATAATCTTTAATCATGCAGATCATGTTTCCCCATCAACCAGTGGCTCTGATGACTTTCAGGTATACATGCAAACAGTGTAAATCAAATCTTTCCCAGGCAGCACCTCACCTTGCCTGCTTTTATCATTCATTCCTACAAATCAGATCAAGGCATGATAAAGCTGGCCACCAACCACTGTAAAACAGCATTTATATGCATCGTCTACAAAGGTGACGACTTCTAAATAATTGTTTTGAACAAGACTGTTTCTTTCTGGGGAGGCATTCTGATAATCCCATTATCTAAGTTTGCAGAAAACTCCAGGGTTTAAGCCTAATCATCCTAGCTTTACAAGCAATTTTAGGTTTTTCCTCAGGACCAGAGGATATTGGAGTAAAACTCACTCAGTATTTACCAATAAAGAGCAGCAAAAGATTCTTTTATTCCTCTCTTTAGTGAATAAATTGGCTTTTAAAATGAACATCATTTACATGCGCTGAGCTTAATATTCAAGGGGAAACGGATTAGATAAGAAGACACCAAAGAACATAAAGAAAAGTAACAGAGCATGAAAGTCTACAAGAAGACAGCCTAATTAGTGTGGCATCTTAAATAATGATCGCTGCAGGCTCCGGCACGAACTGAAAAGCTCCAAAAATAAAAGGGCTTCCGTTAACAGATGACAGTGGTCACTTAGAAACCATTAGGAAGGATGGCCAGTGTGACATACTACTTTCAGTATGATCCCTGAAGGAAGCTGGAGGAAGAAGGAGCACAGATTCTTGGACTGTGATTAAAGCAAACAAGCAACCTCTGATGTTTTGTTTTGACACAATCCTTGAGAGGGACAACGTTCCTGTGCTGGGAGAATGGCGCCATGCTTTCCCCTTCTGTGACTTGGAACATGGGTGTGCAGGACAGTGACCTCAGCAAAGGACATTTAAGCAGTATTCAGGTTTCTAGAGGAATTTTCCATTAGAATGTTAGCATGGAGAATCCTCAGCTTTTTCCATGTTAATACGGCTGTAACCAAAGCTCAAGGAATCAAGCGCAAGATATTGGATGGATTTATTCCAGAGGCCGCCCACTTTAAGTCTAGTTTTCATTGATCCTTAGGAGTCTTTCACATGATTCTTCACAGCAAGGGGGAATAAGAAAGCTCACAAAGGCTTGCTGAACCAGATGGCAGGGAGAAGACTGAGCATTAAGCACAGAATATTTTAAAATAAATCACACCTTGTTACTTTCAAGCAAGCACCTTCAGCCTCAGTGAGCAAACAAACAAGCTGGGGTTATGAGGTCGACTTTCAACTAGACACAAATGACTTCAGTTCACATTCCTGTATTCAGTGTTTACATAGAAACCAAGCTTTTAAAGATGCTTTTGCAGCTTCAACAAGAAAACTCACACCCTCTTCTGTCTAGCTTTCCAAATGTCTAGAATTAGTGAACCCTGACTGTAATTGTTGTCTTGGGGTCCTTGTCCTTTCCCCATCTGAAGGATACATCACTCTCATCCAAACAAGATATTACTCTGGAGAGCCTACTGAATTCAAGTCCACTGAGCAAAGCATTTGGCATTCATTACTGCATTAAATCATTGTAAGAACCATATGAAGTAGGCTTAGGAAGGTTAAATAAATCACCCAAATTACAGAGCTAGGAAATGACAGAGAACCACCCCTTAGGTCCCCCATCTCATTGTAAACAAACAAGCAGAGAAATTCTGACTAGTGTTTTATAACGACCACTTGGTATGGTTTGAAAATGAGATGCCCCCACAGACCCATCTTGGCATTTCAGTTGTGAGCCTGAGCCTATAACAGCTTTGCCAGCTCTCTAGGACAGGCTCATCTTGGTTCTTAGATGACGGTGCTGTTTTGGGAGGCTGTGGGAGCTTTGGGGTAGGAGTGTAACTGGCAGAGGTAGGTCACTAGAGGTTGGCCTTTGAGGGTTACAGACCAGCCCTGCTTTCAGTTTGTTTCTCTGCTTCTTGACCTGCCAAGATGTGAAGAGCTGTGCTTCAAGCTGCATCAGCTGCCATGCCTTCCCTGCCATGACAGACCCATAATCCCTGAAACTGTGAGCCAAGCTAAACCTTCCTCCCTTGAGTTGTGTCTGTTAGGCATTCTGTCACAGTGATAAGAAAGGAACTAATCTGTGCACTCTTTTTGAGAACCTCCAGGGTAAATGGAGGCTCAGTTCCTGTCAAGTGACAGCACTTCACTTAAGTGCAATCTAAGCTAATGTTTTTCTGAGTGGTGAATGATAATGTCAGGTCATCAGCCAAGTATTGAAAATTACCTGTGTTGGATATCTGATACCTATTAGCATATAAAATTCAACCTTACAACCACCTCACTGTAGATGTTAGCCAGAGCTCCAGTGACTGAAGCCGCTCTTCCAAGGACACCCACTTAGTAAGTAACCTGACAGTCTAGGTAAAGATTCTTCCCTCCCAGTTGTAAAACCAAAACAATGCAAAGAAACACAAGTGAACATGCTGGTGTCGGGCACGGGGCTGAACAAAATGAAGCAGTCGGGTAGAGGAGAAGCATTGCTCACCTGACTCCACGTGCCAGCCTTCCACTTGGGGCATCGTCCTCCTCTGCACTTTCTGTGCCCATGTGGCTTAGTAAGGTGCTTACAGTAATCACTTTCTAAATGGCTTCCGTCTTTTGCCAAGCAGTAAACATTTCGTTGTTTATGCCCTCGACCACAAGAGACAGAACACTGCAATATAAAGCAATGGCAAGGTTGTTGTTGTTTTTTAATCACAGTGAGTTTGATAAAAACCTGCGTAATGTGATGTTAAGATCATGCCTAGTGAAGGTTACCATTAACCCCTTCCCAGTGCATTCTGGATCTTTCTTGAAGGCCTAACAGGGAAGGAAGGCAGTAATGGGGAAAAAAGTGCCCATGCATTGCAACAGCAGTCTCATAGGGCATGTTGGCTTACACAGCAGCATGAGACGATTCCGACAATTTAATCTAAAATAAAACTCATGAACCTGAAATTACCATGGTTTTTGACTGAGAAAAGTCCTACTACCAAACAGCAAAATATTCCCCAACAAAATGTTTGATGATTGGGATAAAGGTACATTTCCAATATATGATTGTATTCAATTTCTTAAAAAACAGATTTAAGGAAACTCTCCAGCCATTTTTTTTTTTCCAAAAAAAAAAAAGCTCCACTTTTCCCAGCCTATTGGGTAGAGGTGAAAAAG